TCAAACTGCAAACACGAGTTGTCTATGCCATGCTAGAATGTCGGATTCAGAAAAAGATGTTGAAATGTCGGAAAAGTCGGACACAGGCGAAAGCATATCGGGAGATGGAGACGGAGACCAACAAGACCTCCCTCATCCTTGGCCCTATCTCAAAGAAGTTTTTGAAATAGTCGGGAAAAAATTGAGCTTGCTAGTCATAGAGTGGCATCTGGCTGTTTTTTTAAAGGTTACTTTACACTTTTTTACTTTAAGGAGTTTTTGGAGCACATACTTTTTCACTTTTACAAGCTGATACTTCAACTTTTACAGGAGTATTTTTAAACTGCAGTATCTATACTTCTACTTGAGTAACAAATGATTGTACTTTTGACACCACTGCCGACATGAAATAGAGGCCTCACTAAAAAAGGTAGCAATTAAATATTCAATTTAGCATAAAATATTATGTTTTAAGGCTGAAAGTGCATCCCATCAACAGTTAAATGGCACAAAATAAACTGGGTTCACTTTTATTTCAAACTAACCTTAATATACACAAAAAAAAATCAAACTACTATATTCTGTTATTTTAAATTGTTTAATAATAAAGTGATGATGGAAGCATTCAATGATCCAAACTTTAACACACCTTAATAACTCTTAGCATCTTTTCTGTCTAATGAGGCTCATGTGGTCATATCCAGTCACTGCTAAGCCCAGGTTTTCACAGCTCTGCTTAAGTCCCTAGAAAATATTTTAGTTCAAGCTTGTTGCAAATCCTAACCCGACGACTGCTAAAATTGCCCACAGCACCACCAGTAAACGACTGATTAAACAGAGATGGGATCAGTTTGGAAAAGATTAGTTTTAAAGACTAAATACTGTGGAAGCATCAAAGGTATACAGAATAAAACATTTCTTTTTTGTTATTATTTTATTGGTTTCATATTATTAATGAGATTGTAGGGCATTTTTTGTTCACGCATATGCACTTAAATATAAGTAATCACAAAGCCTGTAAAACTATAAAAAAAAAAAAAAAATAAATAAATCCTAGGAAGAAATGGTACACTTTATGTTTCATAATGACTATTTTTCCAAGTATATTTTTATGAACACAGCCCTATTGTGTACATTTTAAAATGATTATGATACTGCAGTTATTTTACTATTCATATTTTAAAAATGAATGAGCAAAGGCAGCTCATCTTCCACAGAGAGAAAAGGGAGGAAGATGCTGAGCTAGATAAAAGGTCTCTAAAAATCCTCTATATAAATCGATCCATCCATTAATTCTACATGCAAGCTAACTCTTCAGGGTTTTCCCTGAGGTAGGGTGCACCTCAGGGATTGCGATCAACTTTAAAAAGAGACAGATATATTTTTAATAGAAGGATCAAGCTGGAGTACCAAGTAAAAAACCAAGTCACACACTGGCAGAGCATGAAAACTCCATTCAGAAAGACTGCCTACCAGAAATAAATCAAAGTAACATCTTGCTGCAAGGCAATAGTGTTCATCTGGCCCAACAAAAGATGTGCAGTGCTTCCTTCAGCCTTCGGCATTG